CACCTCCACATTCATCCCTGCTCCACCCCCTTCCTCTCCAGGCCGACGTCAGGAAAGTGGTGAAAACAAGATGACGTTCCCCAAAGTCTTTGCTCCTGGTAAAGATGCCTCCCCTGCCTGACTGCCTTGCTGGCTGTATGAGAAACTGACTGAACAGCTGTCTGACTGATTTACTGACTGTACCTTCACTCTACTCACCCTTTGTGTGTGTTTACATTATTCACTCAGCTCTCTCAATCCCCGTCACCATGGTCATATAACTCCTTTTAACTCCACCTTGTACATGTGTGTTCACTAAATCCAGTCTAGCTGTCAAGTGGATGCTTTTTACTGATTGTTGTGACATTCTCTGAAATGAACTGAGTTTTTGTGGCTATATTATGTCTTTAGAGCTTATGGCATAATGAATAACATTGTTCTGAACATGTCACTATCTGGACAGTAGCTTAATCACACACCTCTAGCACAGCATTGAAAGCCACTGGTACACTTTCTATGATCTGACACAACACAGCTGTTGGTAAAAGGCACATAAACAAACTCTTAAGCCTTTAATGTCAAAATATATTTTATATTGTCAAAACTTTGTCTGCTAAGATCAGTTGTGAAATGTGAGCCCAGCATTAGGTATTCATTGCATAATGAACTAGTTAATGCTTTTCACACATTTCTCCCACAGAACGCACTGCAGTGTTCATCGTGGTGTCATGTTAGATTCAGTATTCAGTGTTTTTCTCAAAAAAAAAGAAAAAACTACAGTTTGTTTTTACATCTATTATGGCATGACAGACAGAATGTGAGACTTTACCACTAAAATGATTTGCATTGGAAAAAGGCCAGACGTTAGGTTCGAAGAATCTGAAGGCTGATATCAGATTAAGACACTGATGAATGACATTAAGATTAGTTTGCTTGAAGCCACAGCAAGATGTCAGGATCTCTGCTGTGATCTGTAACTTGTTCCTCTGATTCTCTCTTGGCGAGCAGTCGGTCAGGACCACTCGGACCTGGTAGCTGATCTACTGAAGGAACTGTCCAATCACAACGAGCGTTCTGAGGAGCGTAAAGGCGCCCTGGTGGAGCTGCTGAAGATCACACGAGAAGATAACCTGGCTGTGTGGGATGAACACTTTAAAACCATCCTCCTCCTGCTGCTGGAGACACTGGGTGACAAAGATGTACGCTCTCTCTCAGCACACAGAGAGTGTGTTGTGGATATTCAGCAACAATGTGAATATGAAATAGGATATTTCTACCTTTGACTGATTTCCCATGTCCCTGTTTCCCCTAGCACACCATTCGAGCCCTGGCCCTGCGTGTGCTGAAAGAAATTCTGAAGAACCAGCCAGCCCGCTTCAAAAACTATGCTGAGCTTACCATCATGAAGACCTTGGAGGCTCACAAAGATTCTCACAAGGAGGTACACAGCTTCCACATAAAAACAGAATGCCTACACCGCGTCATTGATACACTGTTAGTGGATTTGTGCTCCGTGGTCTTCACCAGCTGGCTGCTGAACAGGTAGCGTACGATGGGTCAATGAGATTTGACAGGAGCACAGTGTGCAGGTAAAACAACCAGAACAGAATTCACTGTGGGTTCATAACAGCAGGTGGCCCTACTGAGACCTGCAGTGACATTATTGTAAACCTTTAGTACAACCTTTTCTTTTCATTTGGAATGTGTCTAGTGCCACACAAGTCGGTATATGGCCATGGCATGGCTCAGCATTTAGCTGACAACAATAATAAATAAAAGGCTCCACAGTGCCCTCATCATTTAAGACTTTACAATATGGTTATTAATTAGAGAACAATAAGAGTAAGTAAATACAACCCAACCTTTGACCCTTAACTCGGGAGCTCACAGGCAAAACCTTGTGATATTATTAATATTAAAAATAAACACGAAACTTCCAAATCAATAATAATCCACAAGTTATAGATTCAAAAAAGAATCAGTGTTCATAGTTTAACAAATTGTTATTCAGAGTAAATGAGTTTACACCGAGTTCTTGGCTGATTTCTTTGAATGTGGAATCACAGAAACAACCTACTGAACCTTCTCAATGTTTTCAAAGTTCTTCTCGTTCCAGTAAGGACCCTGAACTAAAAAATGATGGATTGTGTGACAGTGGTGCGGTGGGTAGAGCAGTCACCTCCCAACCAAAAGGTTGAAGGTTCAAATCTCGGTGCCTTCAGTCCACATGTTGAAGTGCCCTTGGGCAAGACACTGAACCCCCGTTGCCCGTGATGGCGGCGCGTAGGCACGCAGCGGCCTGGGGCCCTCGGCTCCAAACAATTTCATTGTACATGTTACAATAAATAAAGCTTCTTGTTCTATAATTGTCCATAACTATAGGTGCACAAAATATGATATTCTGTGTCAGTGTCATGTTCCAGCAGAGAAAATGCTTTAGCTCCAGTTCCATTAAGAGGTTTGTCGAGGGAAGCATCTATGTTGTTAATCCCTATAAGGTGCCAGTTGTCACCCACTGATGGAGCATTTTATTCTTTTTTACCACACCTTTTTTATTGATCTTTGTTGATATTGATATTGTTGGCGTGTTACCGTGCCTTTAGGTGGTGCGTGCAGCTGAGGACGCAGCAGCCACCCTGGCTGGCTCCATCCACCCAGAGCAGTGCATCAAGGTGCTGTGCCCTATTGTGCAGACCGCCGACTACCCCATCAACCTGGCTGCCATCAAGATGCAAACCAAAGTCACTGAACGCATCGCCAAGGACTCCCTACTGCAGCTGCTGCCGGACATCATCCCTGGACTCCTGCAGGTCTGCATCCGAATCTAAAACAAGCTGGCAGTTCGGACAAATGTAGATTTACACATCTTTATGGGTTAGATTTAATTGTTATTTGCTCCAAAACCTGAAATAGTTTATTTCCAACAGGACACAGCACCTAAATTTGATAATAAAAAATAGTAAACTAAACATTTAATGAAGTAATAACAACCATAGTTGAATAGCAAACTACAGGTGCTGGTCCTATAATTAGAATATCATCAAAAAGTTGATTTTTTTCACTAATTCCATTCAAAAAGTGAAACTTGTATATTATATTCATTCATTACACACAGACTGATATATTTCAAATGTTTATTTTTTTTTAATTGTGATGATTATAACTGACAACTAATGAAAAAAAGCAATTTACAGAGCTCTGGGTTCCATTTATCTGAAGCCCTACCAAACAACACCGTTCAATCTGCCTTCAGAGCAGTGGAACGCTGTCCTCCTCCATTCAGTTGATTTTATACAATTTCAAATGTGCCACTGTAGGCTGGTCTGGTCCTCTCGTGCTGTTCCATTGGTCCATCTGTCCATCCGTCCTCCTCCTGCATCTTTTCTGCTCCAATGGGAAAAGCAGCTTAAATTCTACTGTCTGAATTCCTACCCTCACCTCTTTGTTTGTTACACTATATGAGACATGGCTTCCCGTTTGCCTAATTTAACTGTCCTGCCTGTGTGTGTGTCTGTATATGGTCCTGCCTTTGAAGTTGTCTTCCTCTTCCTGACTTTTAGATCTAATCTCTTGTTTATTACCCTTGGTGTCCCAGTGACCCCAGATCCCCTGGCCTCTTCAGCCAGGTGGTGATAATAAGGTATTGGTGGACCCTCCTTGTCAAAGCTGTAAACCTAATGAAATTCAGTGTTTTAATGAACCAGACCTTGTGATTTTTTGTCCCAGCTCAGCAGGTCTTCAGCAGCTCTTGAACATGTGCTCAATGTTTGGGGAACGTCACAATGTCAAGTATAATGCTGTCAAAAGTGTCATTATGATACGCCATACAAATGAGGACAGGTCCCTTGTATTTCCTTCTTTTAAGTTATCTGATAATATTTTAACTGTGTGCAGTGAAGTTAAGTATTTGGGTCATGTCATTAATGAT